GAAATACAAATAAAGCCAATATATGAAAAAACTTAATGTTAAAACCGATATGGCATGTATGAATGATTATATCCTTTTGATCATGGAGATCAAATCAGCCTTACCCTTACTGGAGAAGTAGTGATATGAATGCTTTTATGCCTTTTTTATCATGGAGATTAAGTCAGCCTTACCCTTATTGGAGAAGTAGTGAGATGTGGGTTTGTAACCGGAGTGACTTGTTTGTAGTGAGATGGGGATTTGTAATAAGGATTTCAAGGTTTTAGGGTTCTTGAAAGAATTTGATATTCTGACAGCGTTGTGGCAAAGGTTAAGTTTTTCTCCTTTTGTTTGTGTGAAAAGAATGAGATTATATAATGGAAATTAGAGAGAAAAAATGGGCTTTGAATGTGCAATTGGGCCTCCAATGTTTACTTGAGTCCGTCACATTTCAGGCTAAATCGCAGGGGCTTAAGTGCAATTTTTGAAGTTGAAATGTGAAAGCAAAATGTAGCCGACATCGAGAACTAACTCATGTCTGAAAATGGGCTCAATCGGATAAATGGTGAATTAGTTATGAATTTTTGAAGTTTCAGCTCAGATAAACTTATTTTGGGCTCCAGTGTCGATTCTGATACGTTCTTCAATAAAAAACTGGTATTGATCGGAGCATAATCCGGTCTCGACTTTTGAAGCAAAGTTGTAGATCTCTGAGTCTGTAACCTTGTGTAAAAATATGAGCCCAATCCGATAAAAATTGACCGAGTTATGAATTTTCGAAGTTTCGACCCCGATAAAATAATATTCAGTATTCAGGATTTTCGGCGCGTCACACGCACTCTAAGCAAAAAAAAAGGCCTTTTGAATACCTTTCGAACTCGATACCTCTTGTGAAAACGTAGCCAACTCAATTTGTGAAATTTTGGCACTGGGACCAGTTCGATACGATGAAAATCGACCAAGTTATGATTTTCTGAACATGACGCAAATAAATTTCTATCACAAATTTTCTGTACGAAAATACTTGATAAATCCGCATTTTTGAAGACCTTCTGATCGAAATTGGCTTCCAGCTGTGAGATATGAAAATGTAGATGACGTCAATACGGAATTTTGGCCAGTGGAACGGGTTCAAAACGAGCCACGATTTTCAAGTTATGAATTTTTTAGCGCGTAAAAACTGCACTTTCAGCACACTTTTTCACCATATTTCTTCGAGAAAACTCACACATTCGGATACCTTCTTTAAAGAATTGACTCTTGAGCTGAACCTGAATTTGAGAATATGTTATCAGAGATATCTTGACGAAAGAACACCTGAATATGACGCGCCGGGTTGGACTTGTGAATTTTTGAACCCTGAATCGTTGCAAAACGGAGAACCGATCTTCAACACGAAAAATACTCTGAGAATATTCATTGACGAAATAAACGTCACTTGTAACCTGAAGAAGCTTGATAAATATACCTTTATTCCATAATCATAAAACCAATAATATGCGTGTATGAAAAGAGGGCAAATTTTTGGGTATAACAACTGCCCCTGTTCAATCTTCTTAAACTTGAAGATTTAGATTGGCTCGTCTGCCTTTCGTGATCTGAAGGTGGAAGATGATTGAACACTAGAGTACCCAGAAATTTGAACTCGCGTGAAATGGTAATTGTCTTGTGATGTCGGGAATGGGCTTATTGATGCCATTTGGAGACTGATGATGGGAGAATGGGCTTAAGATTCCATCAGAAGGAGTGTCGATCGCATAAGAGATTCCTTAGCGAGAGCTTGTGTACCTGTCGTTGAGGAAGATACCGCTGGGGAAGGCTGATCTTTGTTGAGAGAAATAGAATTTTAGGAGCTTCGTCGTCCGTTACTCTGTTGGTGAGTCATCTCTGTTTGAATTTTAGGAACTTCAGTCATCCGTATTCTACCGAGGAAACATCTCTGTTGAAGAGGAAAGTTGAATTTTAGGAACTTCGGTCATTCGTTATTCAACCGAGGAATCATCTCTGTTGACATTTAGGAACTTCGGTCTTCCGTTATTCAACTGAGGAATTGTCTCTTAGTCGAGTAGGTGGAAATGAACTGTGACCTGGTCGTGGTCCAGGCTTCATAGTAATAAGACCGACTGCTACCTGGTCATAATCCAGGCCTTACAATGACTTACTGGGGGGATGAGATTAAACTTGCTATCCGGTCGTAATCCAAGTCTCCCAACCTCTCAATTCTTATCTGGTCGTAATCCAGGTTTCAGAAGGAAGTCAAATGTTATCCGGTCGCATCCGGGCTTGAACTTAGGGCACACTAATATTCGGTCGACTCCGGGCTTCTTAGTAATTGTCCAAGTAAAATTGCTATTCGGTCGAAATCCAAACTTCGCAGGGTCTTGTATTGTTGTCTGGTCGTAATCCAGGCTTCAGTCCTTTTATCATTATCCGGTCGTAATCCAGGCTTCATAATACTTTACTTCTTATCTGGTCGTAATCCAGTCTTCAGAATACTCTACTCCTTATCTGGTCGTAATCCAGTCTTCAGAATACTTTACTCCTTATCTGGTCATAATCCAGTCTTCAGAAGAGATCAAATGGCTATCCAGTCGTAACCCGAGCTTTCCCTTTAGCTTTAGGCCTACTAACATTCGGTCGTAATCCGAGCTTCATAGTATTTGGCCGGGTGAACTGCTATCATAATCCAAGCTGCACAGTATCCCTTATCTGTTATCTGGTCAAAATCCAGTCTTCACAATAATTTACTTCTTGTCTGGTCGTAATCCAGTTTTTAGAAGAGATCAAATGGCTATCCGGTTGTAATCTGGGCTTCCCTTTGGCTTTGGGCCTACTAACATCTGGTCGTAATCCGAGCTTCATAGTATCTGGCCGGGTGAACTGCTATTTGGTCGTAATCCAAGCTGCACAGTATCCCTTATCTGGTCGTAATCCAAGCTTCACAATGTCTTTAACCGCTATCTGGTCATAATCCAGGTTTCACAGGAACTTGTATTGCTGTCTGGTCGTAATCCAGGCTTCACAATAATTTGCTGAGCTGTTATCCGGTCGTAATCCGGGTTTCACGGCCTGCTGAGGATTTAAACTATTATTCGGTCGACTCCGGGTTTCATAGCTTGCCTTTTAAGAGATACCACTATCTGGTCGTAATCCAGGCTTTGCGATAGTCTAATACTGTTATCCGGTCGTAATCCGGGTTTCACTATATGCTGTAGGAATCAAGATACTATTTGGTCGTACCCGGGCTTCATAGTTTGAACTTTTGTGAGAATTTGATTGTAATTTTCCTGAAAGGTAAAAATTAGCTGTATGTAATGCATGATGTGTATCAGGTAACGATGTTCTCAAAATAAATGAGACTGTGTTGTATGATGCGTATGCATGTCATGATGTATGAAAGTGCAATGTTTTTAGTTGGGGAAAATAAATCCTGGATAGCTGTTGTACCCCAAAATTTGCCCTCCCATATTTCTCAAAACATTTCAAGAAAAATTCACAAGTCCAACCCGGCGCGTCATATTCAGGTGTTCTTTCGCCAAGATATCTCTGATAACATATTCTCAAATTCAGGTTCGGCTCAAGAGTCAATTCTTTAAAGAAGGTATCCGAATGTGTGAGTTTGCTCGAAGAAATATGGTGAAAAAGTGTGCTGAAAGTGCAGTTTTTACGCGCTAAAAAATTCATAACTTGAAGATCGTGGCTCGTTTTGAACCCGTTCCGGTGGCCAAATTTCCGTCTTGACATTATCTACGTTTTCATCTCTCACGGCTGGAAGCCAATTTCGATCAGAAGGTCTTCAAAAATGTGGATTTATCAAGTATTTTCGTACAGAAAATTTGTGACAGAAGTTTATTTACGTCATGTTCAGAAAATCATAACTTGGTCGATTTTCATCGTATCGAGCTGGTTCCGGCGCCAAAATTTCACAAATTGAGTTGACTACATTTTCACAGAAGGTATTGAGTACAAACGGTACTCAAAAGGCCTTCGTTTTTTGCTCAGAGTGCGTGACACGCTGAAAATCCTGAATGCTGAATATTATTTCATGTGGACCGAAACTTCGAAAATTCATAACTCGGTCAATTTTTATCGGATTGGGCTCATATTTTTACACAAGGTCCCTGACTCATAGATCTACAACTTTGCTTCAAAAGTCGAGACCGGATTATGCTCCGATCAATACCAGTTTTTTATTGAAGAACGTGTCAGAGTCGACACTGGAGCCCAAAATAAGTTTGTCTGAGCTGAAACTTCAAAAATTCATAACTAATTCACCGTTTATCCGATTGAGCCGATTTTCAGACAGGGGTTAGTTATCGATGTCGGCTACATTTTGTTTTCACATTTCAACTTCAAAAATTGCACTTAAGTCCCTGCGATTTAGCCTGGAAAGTGACGAACTCAAGTTAACATTGGAGGCCCAATTGCACATTCAAAGCCCATTTTCTTTACCCTAATTTCCATTATATAATCACCTTCTTTTCACACAAACCAGAGAGGAGAAAAAAGAGAGAAAAAAACCTTGCCACAACACTGTTAGAATATCAAATTCTTTCAAGAACCCTAAAAACCTTGAAATCCTTATTACAAATCCCTCTCTCACTACAAACAAGCCATCACAGTTACAAACCAACACCTCACTACTTCTTCAGTAAGGGTAAGGCTGGCTTGATCTCCATGATCCAAAAGGCATAAAAGCATTCACGTCACTAATTTTCCAGTAAGGGTAAGATTGATTTGATCTCCATGATCAAAAGGGTATAATCATTCATACATGCCATATTGTGCATAAACATTAAATTTCTTCATATATTGGCTTTATTTGCATTTTATGATTTTATTTAATGTGTTCATGAGATTCAACACTGCAGATTTAGACAGGATCCCATGCAGGTTCATTAAGGAACGTTGAGGCCAAAAGCCAAAAGCCAAATGGCCAAAAGAACAACTTATGCATGACGCCAATACATGGCGAGACAGACATCCTGAGAAGATTAAGGAACGTTGAGGCCAGAACACAAATGGCCAACAGCCAGAACACAAATGGCCATGAAACCCAATCCAATGGCCAAAGAATGCAGACCACGGTACTCAGGAGTCAATGAACACGCACGTGATGCCAGAAAATCAAACAAGGCTTTTTGTCTAATGGGCCAGAATACTTCAAAAAAACCTCCCCTTGGGCCTGAAACCCCCCTTGGTTTGCATCCTTTTTAATTTTATTTTATTTTCTTTTCTAATTCTTTTTTAATTGTTTTAATTGTTTTTTTTCACCATAAAATAATTTTCTATAATAAAAACAGAAAAAAATCAAAAATACAAATATATTTAATTATTATTAATTTCATCACTAACCTATTTTTTGTAAATGAACTCTAACAATTAACTTAGTTTAATTTAGGTTTTTAAACTTTAATCTTTTTCTTAATAAGTAAAAAGTATCTAGAATTAGGTTTTTTTGACATATTCATCTTTTTCTTAAATAAATTATTAATCATCATTATTTATCATTATTATAAATTATCATTAATTTTGTAAATAAACATGTAAATAAATTAATTAACTAGTAAATTAGGTTAACTTTAATATTTTCATTAATAATTAAAATAATCTAGATTTAGGGTTTCCTTTTAATTCTTGTTCTTTATTTTTCATAAATATAAAAAAAAACACTAAAACACTTTCTTTTCTTTAATTAAATAATTAATTGGACTTTAATTTAATTTAATTTCATGCAAAGGGTCAAAACCCTCGGACGTCCTAATTTTAATTCTTTTCACGCATTATTTCTTTCGATCATTATGTAACTGTTTCTCAGATGTAATAGTAATTAGGTTTATCTTTCCGTCTTTACTTTCCGCCTTTTATTAAAAACGGGTCTTTGTTAATTTGGCGATGTATAGACCCGCGCCTTGTAATAGCGTAGGATTTTACTTTCCGCACTTTAATTCCCGCACTTTTAAATTCTAAACTTTGCATGAAAGAATGAATGGCCTAAATTAAAAACAATGCGTAGCTCACCAAATGCATGATCAAAGACAAATATTAACATGAAAATAACACACAAATTCACACACCACTCTTAGGGTACGCCTCACTGTTGCCTTGCCCTCGAAACGTGGTCGTCGAGTATAGGACGTCTTAGTAAGTCCTTATGTCCATTGATCTAGTTGCCTCAAAACAAGTTGCCTCGGAACAGTTGCCTCGAAACGGTCGCCTCAGAATAAAAAAGATCAATGGCATAAGGGTAGCTTCTAAGGTGTCCTGCTGTTGCTTCGGTGACCACACACTGTCCCTACACTCGAATTGACCCGAACACCTCCAACGGTGGTGCTACCTACCTCTCAATGGTGGGATGGCACTACCTTAAGGACATTTATACAGCTTAATTCCTTAGGGTAGGTAGATGACTCATAGATACTTGCTCTCTTCAAAAACAAATCAAAACTCTTTTCACACCGACACTTTCAAAAAGCTTTCAAAACAATTTTTCAAACACTCTTGAGGACTGATACAAGAGTCGATCTGAAATCTTTAAACGAAACTTTTTCAAACCCACTTACGATTGAAAAGCAAACACTTTTGAAAACACAAATGAGCAAGTATCTAAGAGCCCATGGATAACCATGGATAGAAATGGTGCTAACACCTTCCCTTTCTATAAATCTACCTCCCGAACCGAGAAACTATCTCATAAGGAATTTTGTTGTGCTTTTGTCCTGTCCATGTTGGAGAAAATAAAAGACGGTGGCGACTCTTGCTTCCGCGATATTTCGCGAACCAGCATTAAACAGTCAGTTCCAGATCCACCGATCACAGAACTGGCGACTCTGCTGGGGAATTAAGGCATCTTATAAAGTGAGGTGTACCTTAGGACTAAGATCACTTGTGTTTTCAATTGTTGTGCCTGTTTGCTTTATTATTGTGGGACTGTCTCGGGAGTTCTATAGATCCTAGCCCGGATCTGGGGGATACCTTCTTAGAAAGTAGCAACAAGGCTGTGAGGGAACTGTGCGGGGTATACCGACATGGTTGAAGCAGTCTGCTACGTTGATGTGGCACTTTGGTGTGTACCGGTAACCCTTGAGTCCAGTCAAGGAGAGTACGGGGCCGCCGCGTGGTGTCGTGAAGCATCAACTGACCTTAGGAACCTTAATTGAACCATCTTGGCCTCTTTAGGGTAGTGAGATAACTGACTTTGGTGCAGTCTGAGGTTGGTTGATACTCGATACTACACTCAATTGAGGGTTGTTTTCTTGGAATATTTCGGTCGCCAGTTCAGTGGCTAAATCACACTACAACATTTAGGCTCTCCAGCAACAATTGAAAAACGTTGCCAGAACTCTGAAAATCGTTGCCTAAAACAATAGGGGACGTTTTCTGGGCGTCTCCTGTGCGAGCGTTGCCTATTGTTTGAGGCAACGTTTTTTTATGTTTTTTGGGAACGCTTTTGAAAAACGTCGCCTATAGTAAAGGAATAGGGGACGATTATTTACGGCCTCTGAGACAACGTTTTTTAAGCGTTGCGTTGCCAAATTCGGCTACAATTAACAATCGTTGCCTTAAACCTGAATCAGGAAGATCGTTTTTCAAGTGTAGCCATAGCTTATAGGTTGTTGTTTTATAGTGTCCACATAAAATATACAATTTTGCAATTATTATCAAAATAATATAGTCAATAATAATTGGCTTCAAAAATAATATTGATTATATAACTTAAACCATACATCCATAAAAGTTGTAATATAATAAAATCGAGTTCAAACTTTAATTCAAGATATAGTATATAGAGTACACAAAATGCCTAACGTAACAATATTACTTTAATACTTTGAAGTATGACCCTAGTAAAATAACTAAAAACATAGTTCAGCAAAAGAACAAAAATCATATTTCAAGTTTAATGCTTTCGACTACAAGCCAAAAAAAAGACATCATCCAACTCATTCAAGTTTGTCTTCTAGGAAGTAAAGCATCCAGATCGTCCTCTTGAAATTCGTTAGATATGTCATCCTCCATAAATTCTTCATCTACGTCGTCCTCTTGAAATTCACCATCTATATCCTCCTCTTGAAATTCATCATCTAGATCTATGTCGTCCTCTTGAAATTCGTCATCTACGTCGTCCTCTTGAATTTTATCATTTAGGTCGTCCTCTTAAATTTTATCATTTATGTCGTCCTCTTGAATTTCATCATTTATATCGTCCTTTTCAACATCTTCATTGATACATTGCTGCATAAGAAAATAAAATAAAACACATTAACCATAAGTATTTTTGGTCCAAAGGACAATTAAGACATCAACAAGAATTAAACCTCACACAAATAAAAACTAAACCAATGAGCAAAACACATTGTTTATATTCTTCACATCTCATGGATGTGAATTAATTATGAAGGTTTTTAATGGATGTGAATTTTTGTTCTAAATTGTGATGTATTAAGCTAACTGTGTAATTGGTTATGACTCTGAAAACATAATGCACAAGAGGATCTTACAAACTTAATGGCCAATTCTGAAGTTCTGGTTCTGAAAAATGTTAAAAAAATAATTCTGTGTCCAAACAGATTGTAATAGGGTGTGACGGAATTCGATCACCTATAGCTAAGTGGATGGGATTTTCTGAGCCTAAGTTTGTTGGTCATTGTGCTTTCCGTGGACTTGCCTCGTACTCGGGTGGACAACCTTTGGAATCGCGAGTGAATTACATCTATGGAAAAGGGTTGCGTGCAGGATATGTTCCTGTTTCTTCTACCAAAGTGTATTGGTTCATCTGCTTCAACAGTTCATCTCCAGGTTCTTATTCTTACTAGTAAATTCATACATGGTTCAAGCTACTTAAGTTATTGTTCATATGAAAAATAGTTGAGTTCAATGACAGGTCCTAAAATAACTGACTCAACGGTGCTAAAGAAGCAAGCTAAGGAACTAGTGGAAAACTGGCCTCAGGAGTTATTAAACATAATGGATTCTACGCCAGATGACACCATAATAAGGACTCCGTTGGTGGATCGATGGCTTTGGCCAGCGATAAGTCCACCTGTTTCTGCAGGAAAAGTTGTGCTTGTTGGAGACGCTTGGCATCCAATGACTCCTAATCTAGGACAAGGAGCTTGTTGTGCACTCGAGGATTCAGTGGTTCTTGCTAAAAAACTTGCACGAGCCATCAACTCCAATGATACTTCAGTCGAAGAAGCTTTTAAATCATATGGCAGCGAAAGATGGCCGCGCATATTTCCACTAACCATACGAGCAAACCTTGTGGGCTCTGCTTTGCAGTGGGATAATCCAGTTGTGTGTTCCGTTAGAAACAATATTGTCATACCTAAGCTAGTAAGGCTTGGTCCTTTGCTAGAACACACAAATTTTACTAGTGAGAATCTATAAAGATGAAAGTCAAGACTACACAAGAATTAAGGGATTTCATTTCATCACAATCTATTTCACTATTCTCCCTGAATATATACACTCTATTCAATCAATGCAAAGAGAAATACTGTGTTCATTATTCATTACAGCATATAAACACTTGTTTAGTTCTCCATCCAACAACTAATTCATGCATTCCAATATGGTTGTATAATTCAAGTATCTAAGTGAATTTGTTTTGCTTGTCTGTTTGGCTCCGCGTCCCAACTATGTTTACACCATGACATTTCGAAGGTAGAAATTCAAGTTTCAATCTATATTCTATCACTTAGTAGCTACGAAGCAGTCATAATAAACTTATGAAAAAAATGAAGCAGTAATAGCAGAAGCATAGAAATTAGTAGATAAATAATAGAGTAGAAATATGAGTTTTAATTCTGATATAGAAAAAATCAAGGAAATCAGAAAACAACAAAAACTGAAGAGTGATTCTGGAAGAAGAAACATATAAGAAAATCTATAGTAGAACATGGTTTGAAGGATATAATAGAGAACCTTTGAGATGGAAGTTAGTGGTTGTTGTGAGGGGAAGAAAAGAACCATAGGATGATAGCGCAGAGAAGAACCAGGAGAGGAATAAGATGAACTGCTTGCTGGGCTGATCTGATACGAGAGAGTTCCTTCCGTGAAACGTGGGAGAGAGGATCGTATGTTGGTAGGTGGTGGTGTTGTTGGTGTTGTGTCTCCATCTTTGTCCAAATTCTTTCAAACTTTGTTAGCTGGATATTTCTTTTCACTTTGGACTTTTTTGTAGCTTCCGCCGACGTTACTTGTTAATGCGGCCAGAAGAATGCTTTTGTTATCGAGTATGGCTCATCGGTTGTTCATACAAGAAACACGGAGCTGATCCAACACCAAATATCCCTCTAAATTGTTAGAACTCAAGTCCAAGAAAGTCAAATTCCGACACATCCCTAAACTCGCGGGCACGACACCAGTAACATCATTCTCAGCCAAATTGAGTATTCTAAGAGAGCACGACGAATCTGTCCATTCAACAGGTAACCGTCCGCCAAGATTCGCTCTCGGGGCCGACAAAATCTTCAAACTCGAAAGCGACAAAACTGCATGAGGAATATCCCCAACAAAAGCATTGAATTCACCTCTAAACTTATCCTCCAACAAACTACCCGCGTCAGAACCGCCGCGATCATCAAACAAATCAGTAAGAACAAGCACAGACAACTTCAAACAATTACCTAACAGTTTCGGGATTCTCCCCGTGAGACTGTTTTGCGAAACATCAAGAACACGAAGTTCGACCGCAAGCCCAATCTCAAGAGGCATTTTACCTTCCAATATATTCCCATCAACCAAAAGGGTCCTCAAGTTTCTACATTTCCCAAATTGAGGAGGAATCTCACCAGTCAAAAAATTATGAGACAGTTTCAAATGCCTCAAAGAATCACAACCAACAGAATCATTCACAGGAATCGAACCAGAAAATTGATTATCAGACAAATCAACAATTTTCATATTCTTAGAAAAAATAAACCCATCCGGAATACTACCAGAAAAAGCATTACCAGATAGATTCATCAAACTCACCGGAATTTCGCCAAAGAAGATGTTTTCAGGAATCGACAAAACTCGAAGCTCGGATAACTCTCTGATGGAAGACGCCAGTTCACCGCCGCGTAGACCGGTCACATTAAGTGAAACCACTCTTCCGTTTCCTCTTCCGCCTCCGCCGCAAGTGACACCATGCCAGCTGCAGAATGTGGAGGATGGACCGTTTCCTCTTCCGCCTCCGCCGCTGCACCATGCCCTTTTTATTTTCTGTTTAATGAATTTTTTTTTAATATATATATATATAAGTTTTAGATTTCTGTTTTAGACTAATATATATATATATAACATAAGTTTTTAAATTTTTAGATTTCTATTTTTTTAATATATATATAAGTTTTAGACTTATATATATATATATATATATATATATATATATATATATATATATATATATATATATATATATATATATATATATATATATATATATATATATATATATATATATATATATATATATATATATATATATATATATATATATATATATATATATATATATATATATATATATATATATATATATATATATATATATAATTTTTTATTTTCTGTTTAATTGAAATTTTTTATTTTTAAATTCCTGTGTTAGAAAAATATTTTTTTATATATATATTAATAATGTTTAGAGAAAAATATTTGTTTTTTAGTGTATAAGTTTTAGAGGGAAGATTGCCACCAAAAATTTGATAATTCTAAAAAAATTTATATAACATTTCGGAAATGTACCATTTTATTAGAATTAATGTAACAATCTAAAAATATCCCCAAAAATATTTTAGGGGACAATTGTCAAACATTGCTAAAGAAATAATATTTTAACGCTCTAAAATCGTCCCCAAAAGCAGTTAAGGGCACAATTAACAACTGTTGGCAAAAAAATAAAAGAGTATCGCTCCATAAACGTCCCCAAAAGTATTTTAGGCAACGATTATCAAGGGTTGCAAACATATTTTTGACAACAATCGTAAATCGTTGCCTATATGAATTTAAGGCAACAATTTCTACATGTTACCTAAAAAAGTGTTGCCAGAGACAACAAATGTTGTAGTGTCAAAACGATGAACAATGAAAGAAATCCAATGATATTGGGACCCTTAGAACCCGGTTACTTCTGATAGGACAGGTTTCGAGCCCACCAACTTCAAGAGGGTAATACCTAGACCCCATGCTGGCCTTAACTCTAAGGGCTCTCTTGTGTGACTTGTGTGCCTTCCAACTTGACTATTTGCATGCTTGTTATCTGACACTTGAGTTTCTTGCAGGTTTTGTTTACAGTCCTTAATTGGGACTCATAACTGGGTTTACCTACATTACTCCATGCATAGCATAACATCATACCATTGCATGCATCCTACATAAGGACTAACCCATTTCAAGGATCTCAAAGGTTTGTGATGCAGGTCATGATGAACCAACTGTCCAGCAAGGGGCAAAGGGGATTTATTTTCCTCTAGCCAAGGTTGTCAGGGGCTATGACCCACTCGATATGGTGAGCCTTGACTCTTGAAGAAGGCCTCTCAACAATACGCAGTGCCTTTCATCAAGCTACAAAATGCAGATTCTAACAAAGTTTCTTGTTTATCCCGCGAGGTCCTTGAAAACATTGCATGCATATCATACATATCATTGCATAACAGGTACCCTTTTGACAGGTCACTTACCTTCTTCGCTGTTTATTTCAGCAATGGCTTCCCAACAAGATAACCAGGGTCTTCATGCTCAAGAGACTCAGTTCAGGGAGATCTTCCTAAGCCTATCCAAGGGGCAGGAAGAGCTGAGGGCACTCCTCGTGGGGAATTTGGCCAAGAAAAGTCCCGAAGATGACAAGGACGAACGGCTGAAACATCTACAAGCTGAGGTGGATGCAATGAGAACCCAAATGCTGGGGCAAATGGCTCTCATCCAAGGCTTAACTCAGGAGTAAGAAGAGTTGAGGACCATGATCAGTCAGCTTCATCAAGACATGAAGCAGCCAATCCAAGTCAGGGACCAAGTCATTAATCAGCCTCCAAGAAGTCAAAGGTTTGGTTCAATGAATAGACCTCTCCAAGCTGCTACTACTTCACAGGACTAACCACAACCCCGCCCAGAGCAACAGGTTGATCAGAGTAAGCCTAGAAGGTCCAGGAGGCAATTCACCAACATCAACATGCCTTTGTCACAAGCGATGCAGCACATGTTGAAAATGAATCTGATTGCGGTGATCAACCCTCCTGCAAATCCCAAGACCTCCTCTCCAAACTACAACCCAGAAGCGAGGTGTGCTTATCATTCTGATAGCCCGGGGCACGATACTGAGGATTGTTGGGCGCTGAAATACAAGATTCAGAATATGATCGATGCTAAAGAGATCAAATTCGAGCCTGCTGAGACTCCCAATGTGATCACTGCTCCCTTGCCAAAACATGGCTAGGATTTGAAATTTTTTGTTTTTGTTCATTCGAATATTCAAGTTGTAATTTTCTTTGATTGTTCAAACATTCTATTTCATGTCAAACTTGGTTATTTCACTAATGCATTACACATGTCTGTTTTGAAGTAATTATGTTTACTATGCTTAAAATCGCTTTCATTTTTCTGTGATGATCAACTCTCAATTAAAAAAAAAACTCTAAGCCTCTTGAGGGAGGATGACGAAAACGATACCACGATCTTTACAGTATGCTTTTGAACAGACCCCGCTGATGAGGTACATGCATTGTTTCAATTCCTAAACACTGGAGTTATAAGGAAGATAATCCCTCGTCAACACCTCTGAGCCAAAGAAGTAGGAGTTTTTCTTTTCGAAATTTAAAACCCTTAATCATAACCTGGGGCAGGGTAGTTCTCTCAGTTGATCCAAGTGCATAACGAATGGCACCAAAGAGGTCCTTACAAAACAAAATACAATGATGGTTCCGAATAATCATAAAGACAGGCAGTCATTACCAAAAAAAAAAAAACTAAAGCCCAATAAGTCAAAACCTATGAAGGAGACTTACAAAACTGGGGCATCCCGCTGACTGTAATTCCAAAAAGAAACAGTTCAGGCAAAAAACAGGGATAATGAAAGAAAAAGAAAGAGGTCTTACAAACCCTAAACCAAACAAAAATGACTGCCTATTCAAATAAACGTTCAACATCCGAACCATCACTGGAATTTCAGAGCAAAGACTCAAACAAGGTCTAACGCACGATCAGTTGAGTTTAGGTTTGAAGAACATCACGAAGAGCGGGTGGGTACAAATAATTTGAGCCTTTATCCTTTGTTTCTTAAACCGTGAACCAGGCCACGCTACAACCCTTAAAAGTCCTAGCTGAAGCATGGGTTAGTTCGAAAGCATACTGTTACCAAAGGTATCCTGACTCCTTAAGGCTTGCTATAAAATATTGAGTTGACATCACATTTTACAAAATTTGCTGGTTTTACTGAAAAATGCATTTTTCAAAAACTTCAAGACAGACATAAGCTTTGCATTTTTAACATAACTTTGTTTGCATATGACTTTTTGTTTGAACAGCATAGAAATTTGCACGACGAATGCCTAATGAACAAAAGCACCTCCAATCAAGAGGCATGGCCTGATCATTGTCCATCATCTGGGGCAGTCCAGTCAAGATTCAAGGAATCTCTCAAGATGCCAAACAGCCAGGGGCAAACCTCCGCCTGAGCCACTTGGGGCATTGGACATGAATTCCCAGCAACAAATCTTGCATGACCAAACATCTTCTGGTAGCGTGGCAACACAATAACAGGGGCACCTCCCTACATCCTGAGAGCATGGACATAGTCGGAAAAAATACTACGCGTAATCAAAGACCCGCTAGGTTGACACACCTAGGCAAAAATAAGGGCTTCCCGGCGAACCAAAAGGGTTCGGGCAAAAATGAGGGATGAAATGAAAAAAATCTGTATACCCGGCAAGTCGAAAACCTGAAAAGGCGGCTTGGGCAAAAATAGGTATCCCGGTGGACTGAAAACCCGAAAGGGCGGTCCAGGCAAAAGTTAGGGATCAAAGCGTACGACTATGTCCTGTCATCTCGTCACTTGCCTACCAGAAGAAGATTTGTCAATTGGCAGTCATCAAACACCTTCACAGGTACCTTCTTCTCCAACAGAAACTGGGGCAATAATGAGTTGTCTAAATGATCCGGTTGCCCTGTCCACCGAAGTGCCAAGGTAAGTTCAGCTGAAGAATGCGACCAAGATACCTTCATTTCCAACAGAGCACAACAACGAAATCCCCAGCGGAGTTATCATCAAATCTCAGCGAAGTATCTCTTCCCACAGAGTAATTCCCCGCAGAGTAATCTCTTCGCCAAGTTTATTCCCCAACGGAGTTATCTTCTCCGACCGGTATTCTTGCAATCATCATCCCCAACAGAAACGAAGAATCTCACTCTTCAACATCAGCCCAGGATTTGACTTCCCGGCATCCGTCAAGGATCTATTTTCCTGGACGCAGATACATTCATAAACATCACATTGTTATACATCATGATACATGCATATACGCATCATATCATACAATCTCATGTGTTGAAAAATATTATTGCTTGATCCATATCATGCATTGCATATGACTGACCTTTACCTTTCAGGAAGGATACAGTTAAAAGATCAGCTATGTAGACGAATACAGTCAAAAGAGACCAACCCAGTCAAAGAATACAAATCCAGTTAAATCAATGCCTAAAGATTTCTCTGATCCAACTCGTCGTTATAGACACTCGTCTCTATAGACACTCGTCGCTATAGACACTCGTTGTTATAGACACCCGTCGTTATAGACACTCGTCGTTATAGACACTCGTCGTTATAGACACTCGTCGTTATAGACACTCGTCGTCATAGACACTCGTCGTTATAGACACTCGTCGTTATAGACACTCGTCGTTATAGACACTCGTCGTTATAGACACTCGTCGTTATAGACACTCGTCGTTATAGACACTCGTCGTTATAGACACTCGTCGTTATAGACACTCGTCGTCATAGACACTCGTCGTTATAGACACTCGTCGTTATAAACACTCGTCGTCATAGACATTCGTCGTCATAGACACTCGTCGTTATAGACATTCGTCATTATAGACACTCGTTGTTATAGACACTCGTCGTTATAGACACCCGTCGATAAAGACCACCAGTCCATGGAAATAACCTGTCAGTAGAGACAACTCACCAACCTTTCTGAATTCCAGACTCGATTCCTGTATCCTGCCAGGGCACGTCTGAAGAGTTCGAAGATCCGATTCTTGTATCTTTCCTGGGTGTATCTGTTGACGACTATATTCTCCGGACTCGATTCCTATATCCTGCCAGGGCACGTCTGAAAAGTTTAAAAGATTCGATTCCTGCATCCAGCCAGGGCACATCTACATAAAGGGTTTGAAGATCAACTCCTGTAACAGGCCAGGTAATTATTTTTCTTTCTCAGGTACGCAAGTTCTCGCTAAGGAATCTCTTACGTGATCAACACCTAGATGGCATCTATAAGCCCATCCACATACCAACAGTCTCCAAATGGCATCAATAAGCCCATTCCCGACAAGGTTCTGTCACATCTCTAGATGGCATTTGTAAGCCCATTCATACCATCACACTGCTGACCCTCTACTATGTGAGTACAAATTTCTGGGCACTCTAGTGTTCAATCATCTTCCACCCTCGGATTACGAAAGGCACGCCAGCCAATCTACATCCTCAGGTCTAAGAAGATTGAACAGGGGCAACTGTTGTACCCCAA